CTCTCTTTTGTCTGCAGAAATCTTGTCCTCACCCGGTTCTATAAAATGCAGACTTTAGATGCCTCTCATTAGTTGGCTCAAGGCAATTCAAGTTTTTGAATAATGTCTCAGGTGGAGGTTGTTTCTTTGAAGTCCTTATAAAACTGTAAATAAAATTCAATTCAATTCTTGTCCTTGGACTTGGTAATTCTCCAAGCTCTGGTGGAAATATTAACACTAGGTTTGAGTGACTCTAGTCTAAGCATTTGTGTATTAGCTGAGAGTTTCCAATGTCTTCATCCCCAGAGTAGGGCTAGTGATTCTGACAAGCTGATTGCACTTACCTGAGAGATGATGAATGTGGCCAGAGCTCCCATTACATCCGTTAATGTGCAGACCCTGCGGCCAGCTGGCAGAGCAGCGTAGAGATGAAGACCCAGAAAATCAGGACCCATTTGTGCTCATACCCTGCCTCCCCGCTTTCTGCTCTATAACAGTTAAAAGGTTTGCTCTACCCATCTGAGATCATGACTAATGCCTGCCGACAGTCAGGGATTATTATGGCTTATTAATGACGATGGGTAAAAACTACAGATACGGTGCAGAGAACAGAGAGTACAGTCACATGCACAGAATAGAGTGGCTGAAGAGCAGAATCTCACAGTAAAGCTTACAGAGTAATTCCATGCAACATTCATAAATCTCAGAGCAATAAACGTATAAAATAGTCTGATAGGAGTTCTTCTGGACCACAGAAATTTCACTAGTTCACTAGAGGGAACTTTATTAACAACACCAAGGAATAAATTTTAATTTTTTTTTCAGAAACTTGTAAGGGAGTATTATTGACTTTGACAGCTATCTCTGATTCTGAAGTGAAGAATGCATCCTGCTAACCCTCTCTTCCAAAAACCAGATTAAAAACCCTTATAAGTTCCCTCATTTCTCTGACCCCCATCCCTCTCTGAATCTGAACAGATTTCTTTGAGAACTTCACTGATTCATCTCAGGCTTAGAATAGGGTTTGTTCCCCTTAATGTGGCCAACGGTTCACCTCACCATTTTCTGCTGTGATAAATATTTAAGCAAGCCTTGGTGTCTAAGGACAGGGACAACTTTTCATAGTTGTCATCAAAGCCAGGTCAGCTCTGAGTTAGGAAGTCTCCTTTGTACACTCCTGATAGACAGCAGAGGTCACATCAGGAGCCACCTTGGAGTACACGTGTCAGTAGAATCATTGATTCTGTACCTAGTGACTTCTCAATTCCAATCTCATGACAGAAATCAGAGATCCAGGGAGCCACTCACAGATACTATTTTATTCTGCCTCAGGGTAAAGCAACTGTCTATTCATTCACACACAGAGGGGCCTTCTTCCCAGTGGAGAGTGTGGTTCCCCACAACTCACATCTCGAGGAGGATGGATTATCCATCCTTCAGGGCTGTGAAAGGAATTTTCAGTGGAAATTGTCCAACACGACCAAGTAAAAGTCTTCATAGTTGCTAAGTAACTATTTTAATGTCTTTCATTTTTCTTCAGGTCCACAATCTGTAAATGACTTGTGGAGTAAACCGGATTCCCAGACAGCATTTTCTTCCTTCTCAGGTAAGGGTATTTTTAAGAAAGAGAGTTCTTTGAATGCCATCTTTCTTGATATTAATGCCATAGAGTGAGCCCAGGTGAGGAAACAATGGGTAATCCTCATGAATTGATTACAAACTTTTTTCTTTTCTTTTTTCTTTTTCATCAATTCTGCGTCAGCAGAATCTGCACCCCACCTTCATTATCCATTTTATACTAACAAATTCTGAATATGTGTATCAAATCTTATTTATTCATCTAAGGGCCAAATTGGACTATTAAAGTGCCTACTGAATATTAACTCACATCTCTAAGACACAATTTTATTTAAACATGCCCAGAGCTGAAATTGCCCTTTTTTCCCCTCTCTGATTCTCTACCAGTTCCCCTGTCTTGGTTAATGGTGCCAATATCACCATTTAGTTGTTGAAGCTGAAAACCTGAAACTCATTCTGGCCCTTTCTTCTGCCTCCCCTCCAACAGTCAAGCTGTGGCTCAGTTGTACGGACTCCTCGGTGCAATCCAGATCCATCTCTCCATTGCTACTTCTACTACTATACTTCAGAGCCCCTGTTCTTAAAGTGCCCTGCAGTTCTCCAGTCATAATCCTCACTACATTTTTCTTATAATTTTAAGGAATAAATTGATGCTTTACTTTTCTTAGGCTTTATGACAAAACAAACATGTCTAATTTATTCATAGATACTCTCCTATCTCACAGTGGTTGGGTCACAGTTTGCATACAACAAATACTTATTAAAAGAACATTTCTCTAAATAATTTCATCATAAATACTTTTATTTATTAAGCCATTAGGAAAATATCAATCATACGGCAACTGTATTGCATTCCCTGTTTTATGGACTTTGGGAATACTGAGTAAGCTCCTGCAATGCTTCTGCCTTTATTGAGCTCATGTAAATGCTTGATTAGCATTGAGTCAGGAAGGATTAGGCATTTAAGAATCTCTGCTGTCAAACTAAACCAATCCTGAAATTTAGAGATAGAAATGACACAATACAGTATAACAATAAGTGATCGTTTATTGCTTCAGTTGCTTCTGTGAGGTATTTAATAGTCTTAGACTATCAGGAATACAGCCTTTGTGATATTACCTTCTAGACTTTAGTCTTATCTCCCACTTGAAATTATTTCCTCATCCAATTTAATGGATAAAGTTTTATGGCTCTTTATCCATCCACCTATCTGTTCATTCTTCCAGTCTACATTTAACAGAATACTTAAGTATCATTTTTGTTTTTCTTTGCATTTTTTGTTTGTTTGTGTGACAGTTTGTGAACGTTGGTGGGTGGAGCAGTGGCAGTGGGGAGGGGCCGAGGGGTCTGTAACTGGTAGTGATCAGTGGGTTGTACACACCACTGCCCTCACTTATACCGGCCACTTTTATTTTCCTTTGAATTGTCACCATGACGTAGTAAACTTGAAGGATTAAGATTTTAAAATATACCCGTACACTTATTTTTAAGGAAATAGCCAATTCCCTTCAAAATAATCATGGTAATATATATACCATTTTCCAAATCAAATTTTCTCTGCCTTTAAGTTTCTTAACATTCTGAACTTTAAGCACCAATTTTCACTTATGGGACCATTGGGACTTGTGAATCTTGTTGCAGCTTACTAAAAAAAGTATATGAAAATATCTAGTCTCAACTAAAATGTGTCCATTCCACTGTTGTAACCGACACGGTGCACGGCCTGACTCGACTGATCACCGCCTGCGGGAGCCACGTTGGAGTCCTGCTGTGTCGGACTCTGTTTCTTAACTTCACTAGTTCACGGTCCCATTCCCTGCCCCGAGATTTTAAAACAGCTTCTGCTTATTCAGTGTTCTGGCGCGTTGTGACTGTGTGCTAAATGCGCTGCTTTGAGAATGCACTTTCTCATGAATCAAGGAAATGTTTAAAATGACCAAAAAAAAAAAGACACAGAGCACACCTGTCTGGGTTACGGGAGCATCAACAAAGCCAGACGCTTCTGATGGCTCCGCTGTGGTAGAAACTTATTGATCATCAGTGAAAACCGCGCAGTAGCCGCTCAGCCTCTGTAGACAGCGCATGTCCAGCTGCTGACCCAGACACCCGGACCTCCTCCCCTCTGACTCTGCTATCTGCAGCGTACTATGCTGAAGTAACTTACCACAACTTCTAGTTAGTGGCGTTGGGAAGATGCGGGGTCCTCTGTGTCAGGCTTTCCTCGGTTCAGCCCGGCTGTGCGGTCTCCTGCTTAGGATGCTGACCCGCTGGAGCGGCGGGTGGCGCAGAGGGGCCCAGCCGGGGAGACCACGGCGCGGACCTGCTGGCTCTCACTGTGAGCACTGAGAGTGTCACGCTAGTCTCTGCCACAAAGATTAAAGCGCAGAAAGAAAATTTTATTCCATATAATATTAGAGGTAGCAGAGGAAATATTTCTGTCCCAGATGACAAGAAAGCTCTTAAAAGCATTTCAGTGCTTTGCCCTAAAATCGTGGCTCCTGTTTACTGAGTCCTGACGGATCAACACGCACTCAGCTTCGTGTTAGCTGATTTTATTTTATATGAGATTGGCCTGCTGCTTATTAGACAATCAGTGTGTTGTTTTTCCTTGAACAGTATTTCATCTATGATTCTAGAATAATTTTATCCAAAAATGATCCTTTTTCCTAAAACAAAGGAGCCTTATATTTGAAGGAAATTTAGAGGCCAGGAAAATAAATATGTCATCGATTTTAGAAATTACTGAATCAATTAGAGACTGATCACACCAGGAATGCTTCCTTAGATGTTCTGTGGGATGGGACACCCAATATACCAAATCCCTACTTCTTGCTAAATAAAATTAGTTGACTACAATCTAAATAATTCATTTTATTTATTTTTTGTTGTTGTTCTCTGGACTCCTTTATGAGGAACACATTTCTTTTACCTAGTGATTATTTCCATAGTTTTCTCTGAAATAATTCTAATTAGCTCTGATCTTCTCTGTAGTCAACACACTGTATTCTGCCTTGGTTTACCTTACTGATTAAACAACAGTTTCTCAGATTAATTTTCAAAATTGAATATAATTTTCTAATTTTGATAGTTTATTTTCTCTGAGATCCTGTCGTCTAAGTACTAACCAGGCCCAACTTTGCTTATCTTTTAAGATCCGATGAGATTGGGAGTGTTCAGGGAGGTATGGCCAATATCTAGAAAATTTATTTCTGTTTTTATACAGACAAATGTTACATTAAATTCCTTAACCAGTACATCCCATTGTTGGATGGTATTGAACTTATGATCAAGTAAAAGCCTCAGGGATTTCCTCATAACAACTGCTGTGCAAATGCTATATTTTGCACAGTGTTTCGTGCTCTGAATCCACTTGCCCCTCAATTCCAGCATTTATCCTTCTATTTCATATTCATTTAGTTCAGATGTTCACTGTTCTTCCTCCCCTTTCACATATGTACACATATAAAAAAGAGACCTTGAAAGATAAGACAAAGGTTCATTTTTTTAAAAAATGTTCCTAATGCTTACCATCATATCTAGTAAGTAAATAAATAAATAGATAAACATTCATCTTTTAAAAAACATTTAAATATAGTTAGCCTTGTTCCTATTAAATTTTATTCTGGGCTATGACTTTCTTAAAATAACTTTAGCTATTAACTAGTGTTTTGTCTAACGTGTTGATGCATGGCCTTGAAAATCTGCCTTTCTGTGTTTTTATCTAAAACATTTGTCAAAGTGCTGAATCTAAGACATGAAGGTAGATTCCTCCAGTGGAAATGTCCTCTGGCTTGGGATGTGTTCCTGTAGGAGTGAACTAAGGGAGTGGTGCTGATGACTAGATCAGGACTGTCCTCCTGAGAATGCGTTTCCTCCTCTGTGGCTTCCTAAGAGGATGATGGCAGGAAGAACTTGAAGCAGGACGCACACCCGGGGCCTTTTTACCATGTTCCTCGTCTCTTGCAGCGCCTCAGACAGTACAGGACAACCCAGCTGTGCTGCCATCCTCAGGCCCAGGAGGAAGCGTCAAGCTCTGCTCCCTTGAAATCATCCAAAACATAACGAGAGAGAAGTCAACAGAGGTGCCCTGCCCGGAAGACAAGGATGGGGCGGGGCGGGAGATACACAGAGGCGATGCTGAAGCACAGCGGCTCTCACTAGAGCCGATTTCACTGAAAGCTTCTGGGGAATCATCCTGCCGCTCACCTTACATAAAGGATTCCCATATCCGAGAGTCCTAGATTTGTACAGCGAGTTTCAAGTCTAGTCTAATTCACTGAGTAAATAATAATATTCTGAACAGTAGCAGCAATTGCAGCTATGGAATGCTTAGTATAAATCCTACACTGTTCTAAACATTTTTCTAATAACAATACCATTAAACACTAAAAATTAGTTATAGCAATAGATAAAAAAAACTGAGGCATGAGATGCTTAAATACTTTGCCCAAAGTAAAAAATCAGATATTGATGGATCAGTCTGAAAATCCTGTCATTCTAGCTTCAAAGCTTGTACATTTTCCAAAGTCCTACCTATATAAGAATAATTTGGGAACTCCCTTCCCACTTCTGTTGGAGGACTCAATCCTTTTCTCTGCTTTTATTGTTGAGTCACGGGATTAACTTTCTTCATAGGACTAAGGAAGGGAAAGTAGTTATAAACCAACAAAACGAATATTTAATTGGAGAGAACAAGCTGTTCTTTAATCTGTATTTCCTACAGATTTATCCAATAATGGAAAAGTCGAACCGTACACGTCTTGCTCTTATTATCTGCAACACAGAGTTTGACCATCTTCACCAAAGGGATGGAGCTGATGTTGACGTCAGAGATATGGAGAAGCTGCTAGCCGATCTGGGGTACAGTGTGCATGTGAGAAAAAATCTCACTGCCTCGGTAAGGACTGCAGAGCTGTGCAGACCACGGCCATGCCCTTCATACTCATAAGGCATCTTAGACGCTTGGTTGTAGCACCAGGAAATGTAATCTCTTGATAGCCTCAAATCTAATTTTGCCATGGAAGGGTGCTCGAGACTACATAGTCCCATCTTACATGAAAGTCTTTTAGCAAGAGTCTGGCGTAGCTTTTAATTAGGAAATATTCTATTAAATCAACAAGACGACCCACTCTGTGCTAGAAATCACTGGATGCCATCCTTAAACTTTTTCTTCACCTTTTTCAATTTAAAACTTAAATTTTCCTTTCCACTTCATTGATTATAATAGAATTATTTTAAAATTTCCTTAGGTATTTTTTTTAATTGGAATTTTAAGATGCCATAATAGTTAATGACATAGTCCAAAATCAGGAGTCCGTTTTTTTCAGGACATGATTACAGAGGTGAAGGCATTTGCTGCCCGCCCAGAGCACCGAACTTCCGACAGCACTTTCCTGGTGTTCATGTCTCATGGTATTCGGGAAGGCATCTGTGGCAAGAAATACTCTGAACAAGTCCCAGATGTATTAGGAGTCAATGAAATATTTCGAATGTTGAACAGCCAGAACTGCCCGAATTTGGTGAATAAACCCAAGGTGATCATCATTCAGGCCTGCCGTGGCGGTGAGTTCTGATGTCTGTTAGTACACATAATATTCAATTATTGACCTCCTCCTTGTCTGTATGCATCCAGTATTTCTTAGTTTCTTTGTGTGTGTGTTTTAGGTTTTATTTTTTAATTTTTTACATTTATTTTTATTTCAGGTTAATGTGAGGGTATGAACAACTAGGTTACAATATTTGCATTTGTTAGATAGAGTCCCTCTTGTAATTGTGTCCTGCTAAAATGTGTGTCATAGACCCTTACATTTAAAGAACACCTACACGTGAAGGCATGTTAACCAGTTTGATGAAAACATTTCAAATTGTATATAAAACCAGCACATTGTACCCCATGATTGCATTAATGTATGATTTAAAGCTATGATTTAATTAAAAAAAAAGACTCCCCCCCCCAAAAAAATTAAAGAACACCTACTTGTCACTAGTCAAGATTGTAGCTTCTCTGAATTGTATGGATGGCTGGTAGATTTTCAAGCTTGAAACTTTGAGGCCTGGATATTGTTAGAATTTGAAGTTTAGGAGAGATAAGAATTAAAAATGTGATTCCTAAGATATATGTGTGTATGTTGATGTGAATTAAATATAAAGAAACATAAATTAATGAACACGATTGAACAGAGGTTTAGAAGAGAAAGTAGATCTCTTAGAAGGTTGTATAATAATAAAAAAAAATTCTTGTCTTTCCAGAGAACCCAGGGTTGGTGTGGGTAAAAGATTCAGTAGGAGGAGCCTGTGGAACTGTCTCCCTACTGAATCTAGAAGATTGTGAGGATGACGCCATCAGAAAAGCACATGTGGAGAAGGATTTTATCGCCTTCTGTTCCTCGACACCAGGTAACGGTTTCTGTACAGGATGTCTTTGTGCGGGTTGTCAATACAGGAACTCACACCCATCCTTTAGAACATAGATACCTGAATATAGATAACTTTCTATGAGATATTGGAAGACAAACTCAAGCCTCCCTCCCAGTCATGCATTCAATTGCCTTTATTGACTAAAACCAAATTTACATATATTTCCACAGAACTAGGAATTAGTGAACTCTCTATGATGCAAAATGTTCTCCTGGTACTGTGAGAGATGACAGAGTATTAAAAGGAAGACCATCTGCCAAAGTGCATTAGACTCTGACTCTGCATAGAAAAGGTCAGCAGGCCAATTTGCAAAGGCATTGAGGATTTATAGGCCAGTACTGAGGGCAGGGGCATAGAAGCATAAGAGCAGGCCAGGCATATGGGGGCCCAGTTAGGGTGGGTTTTAACTAGAGGTATAGAGCAGGTGTCCTCAAACTACAGCCTGCAGGCCACATGTAGCCCACCTAGGACATTTATCCGGCCCACTGGGTGTTTTTGCCACTGCTGCCTGTCCTGCTTAGCAGCTGACTCATCCTGGGGCCCGCTGTCTGGCCCTCCAATGGTCTGAGGGACAGTGAACTGGCCCCCTGTTTAAAAAGTTTGAGGACCCCTGGTGTAGAGTGTCTGGAACAGAATACACCTGAACAATTCTGCATGTAAGCCCTGCTGGAAATACTAGGACTTCTCTGCATCCCCAAGTAAGAGAAGAGTTGAAATGTGCTTCATTCACAGATAATGTTTCCTGGCGACATCCGACACGCGGCTCTCTTTTTATCATGAGGCTCATCAGCAGTATCCAAGAATATGCCTGCTCCTGTGACCTGGAGGAGATTTTCCTAAAGGTAGAGCTCTAGGTGCTTCCTCTCCGCTCAGTCTGGCTACCTCGGTGTTTGTCTGTTCCAGCTGAAAAGTTAGAAACGGGTCTGGACATGTTTATCTTCCAGTAATCCCCTCTTCAAACGAGTTTTTAAGATCTTTGAGGCTGGAAGCTGGATTCAATCTGTCATGACCCACAACCTTTAGAAGACACTCATTTACTTACTTCCCCTGCTGCCCTGAAAAGATAGATGGGTGGGCCCCAACTCGCCTGTGTCCATCACAGCTATCACAGCCAGCGGGAGTTTGAAACTGTGGTGACGAGGGTCATTAAATGCTGAGATATGCATAGTACATATTACAGATGCAAGTACTTTTTATTTTTTATTATTTATTTTGCTGTATTTTTTTTTTTTTTTGCAGTATTTAAGGCTTAAGTGAAGATTCTTTAAACAGAAAAATATTTACAGACTTTCCTTTTGTTTTTAGGTTCGACGTTCATTTGAAGTGCCAGATGGCAAGGCACAGATGCCCACCACTGAGAGGGTTACCTTGACAAGACATTTCTACCTCTTCCCAGGATATTAAATAAGTAAGTTGTATGAATGTTTTAGGCAGGTTTGGGGGAAGGGAGGGAAGAGGTTGGGGAGAGAGCACTGATACTCCATCCTGACCAAGGTCTCCAGGCGTGGTACAGGTTGAACATCCCTAATCAAAAAGTTCAAAATCAGAAATGTCCCAAATCCAGAACTCTTTGAGCACCAACATGATGCACAAAAGAAATATTTGCTGAAACATTTCGGAATTTAGAATTCTAAATTAGCAATGCTCAATCGGTTTCCAAAAACTGAAAAAATCTGAAGTGCAAAACACTCCTCGTCCCAAGTGTTTCGGACAAGGGAGAGTCACCTGCAGTGTGGTGCAGGGCGGGGACACTGAGGATACCTTTCTTCTGGCCACGAGACACAGTGCTCTTCTCTCAAAGCTCTGCAGTTAGGCAACCCTCTTGGAGGGTCAGATGGTACTGATGCGGAGGTGGCCACGGGATTATGAAAGCTCACTTTTGGGCGATATTCACACATAACAGGGGCTTTTTCCTCGTGTGTGTGTGTGTTCCCATGGGGAATGTGACTTTGTAACATGCACATCTTTTAGCAGAACTGTTTAGAATGTTTGTTTCATTTCTTTTTCCTATAGGAAGCTGGGAGTACTATCATTCTTTACCTCTCACGGGGATCAGACATGTTGGAATCAGTTGTTTTTTAAACATTTTAATAAATCATAAAAATGTAAAAGATTATTCTATTTTTTTATTTAAACCACATTAGGCAAAAAAAGGTGTGGCACCCATAGCTGGTGTTTTGGCTTGATCCATAAGCGCTGAACTGGCGAATAGCACCCTTCCGTTCATTAGTAACCATGAGGGAGGCTTTCTGCTTTAGGGACACAGGTGCAATTACAGTGGGTACCCGACTTTCAGCTCACCAGCAGAGATGATGTGAGAAAACAGAAATGACAGTTACTGTGTTGTGTGTCAACTGAATTTCAGGGGAACTTTTAAAAATGTTATTTCATTTCTTTTTCCATAGGAAGCCAGGAGCACTGTTATTCTGTACCTGTTTTGAGGATTGGATGTGTTGGAAACAGAAAAAAAAAGTTCTAATAAATCTGAGATAAAAGAAAAGGTTGTCCTGTTTTAATTTTGGTTTATTTTTACCATGTTCAGACTAAAAGGGAGTGGAGCCTGTAGCTGGTAATGGGTTCAGTCTTTAGACTTGATCCAAGAGGGCTGACTTGGCTGAGACCACCATTCTTTTCTTCAGTAAACCAATTGCTGGGCTGTCGTAGGAACACAGGTACAAATCACAGTTGGTACCTGACTTAGAAGAGGTTAGAGCTCACCAGGAGGGATGTGCAGAAGGCACGCAGCAGTGACAGTTACTGTGAGTGTGATAAATGACTTTTCCTAAATGCTAGAATTACTAAGACAAAGTCATGTTGGAAACGTCCGTGTGTACCCTTTGTGAAGGTATGTGGGGGATACAAAGCACATTTTTGTTTCACTACAGAATCTTAGTAGTTTATAGTCTTGTCAAGAAGGTAAGACAGAAAACAGGAAACAGATAGAGGACAGTAAATTTTGCCAGGAATAAAAGCTAGGGCGCACTGCAGGTGAAGTGATCTCAATGTGGGGTGCAGGGAAAATGGGTTCACTCTATAACAAGATTTAGGAACGACTGGACAACTACCTTTCTATTTGAAATTATGAGCCTTTTCTTTCTTTCTTTCTTTTTTAAGACAGGGTCTCAAGCTGTCATCCTGGGTAGAGTGCTGTAGCATCATAGCTCACAGCAACCTCCAACCTTTGGGCTCAAGTGATTCTCTTGCCTAAGCCTCCTAAGTAATTAGGACTACAGGTGCCTGGCACAATGCCCTCCTATATTTACTTATTTACTTATGTATTTTTTTAGAAACAGAATCTCCCTCTGTCACCCTCCATAGAGTGTGGTGACATCACAGCTCACAGCAACCCCCAGCTCTTGGGCTTAGTCTATTCTTTTGCCTCAGCCTCCTGAGTAGCTGGGACTAGAGGTGCTGGCCACAATGCCTGGCTATTTTTTTGTTGCAGTTTGGCCGGGGCTGGGTTTAAACATGCCTCCCTCGGTATATGGGGCCGATGCCCTACTCACGGAGCCACAGGCGCCGCCTCATGCCCTGCTACTTTTAGAGACAGGGCCTCACTCTGGCTCAGGCTGGTCTCAAACCCAGGAGCTCAGGAAATCCACCCACCTTCACGTCCCAGAGTGCCAGGATTATAGGCGTGAGCCACCACACCCGGCCCATGAGCCTTTTCTGATCCTAACCTTATTAATGTGAAAATACATTTTGAACCTTTCACAAATGTTCATTGTTTAACCTGTCAGGGCCTTTTTTATCCCCCTTCTCTTACTGTGCTCCTGTTTTTTTCTCTTTTGTATAATCACGCATTCATTCTACTAGAACCTGATTCTGCCTCCACGGTCAGGTCAGAGGTTATCAAAATGCAGAGGGGTAGGGTCACCCTCAGTAAAAACGTGATGTTGAGAACACTGAGGCAAGCTTAGGCCATTGAAGAAAGCATGCCAGGAAGCGGGTGGGGTGTGTCAGACTCGCCTCTTATTAAAGACTAAGATGACAGGGACACAGAAGGGCGAATCGAGCCACAATTTAAACGGAAGAAACATGGCTCATTTGGATCGTTATCATCCAGACAAAGGAGATTTGTTAGATTCAGCTCTTCTAGGGTTTGAGTTCCTAGGTGAGCAGAGGTAGAAACACTGAGAGGTCAGAAGGAGAGGAGGTGGGTAGAAGAAGCGGTGGGGGCCGTGGAGGGAGAGCAGGAAAGGGAGGAAACCGGCCTGAGGCGCCAACACACAGCACAATGTTTTGTCATTTCATTTTTTTTTTCCTCCAGCCAAGCAAATAAACTAGAGTCCAGGATCAAGAAGCTGATGTCCTGGTCACTGGGAACTTCCTGGCAATGAACCTGCAAGTTCTGAGCAGTAGCTTTACGATGGGCAATTAGATGACTCTGCCCCAGCAATAAGGAAAGACTGAGGGAATTTCAGCTTCCAGTCTGAGGTTCTCCTCAGCTCTGTACAGAGAAAGGCACTGAGGCTGCTACCTGTAGCTGGTGAGTCCATCTTTTTCTGACTATAAGCGAGGGACCTGGGTCTTAGAAAACTCTCTATTGCTGTGCATCAGCAAGAAACAAGACAAGTGAATCACTGGTGAGCAAGCTGATTCCTTTTTTGCTGGTTGTGTAACTTGAGTCACGAGACCTGGTGCTGGAGACACTGTAGGAGCACGTGACCGACCACCAGATGTCTTCAAACCGAAAAGAAGGTGATTAACTCCTTGTGTTTTCAACTTCTGTTAATCAAAGGGTAAAAACAGAGTTATTTGTGTGAAAGGCAACTCTGGAAGTTTCTAAATGCACTCTGAAATCTTTCCTGCTTCTGCTTAATTCCAAGTTGCCATCCAGATCCCCAAATCAGATCTGAGATTTCAGTTCTGGCCTCTTTGCCAATCAATCCTTATACTGAATGATACTCTTCCTCTGTTTAAGGGATTCCGTTTCCCCTTTCGCTCTATTCCTGGTACTAATCATTCTAGCACTGTGCTTACCGGGCAGTTTGCCACACTCTTTACGTGGCTGCCTCTCTCCCAGACTGCCTCTCCACTTGGTCCTGCTCACTGCCTGGAGATCACCTGTCTGATGCACAGAAGCTGAGAAGCTGTGAGAGCTGAGCCCTTAGTTATTTAGGCAGCTGGAATTCTAACACATCATATAACTTCTTTGGATTCATTTTCACTTAAAATGTAAAAGGTTGAAATGTATCACTGATTTCTAAACCTTATTATATGCATGAATGATTTGTAGTCATATAAAAAATCAGATTACGGTACACTTCCTGACCCGGAATAGCTCAATCTTGAAAAGACTGAAAGCATATACAATCTTTTAAAGATCTGTAAATAATTCTGTAAATAATGTAATCATCCTAGCAAAGGATTGTCTGTAGAATAGAATTAGTAGGAAGGGTGATGAGTTAGTTAGCTCTCAGTTCTCACATGTTAGGTGTCTATTACAGGAATTTCTCACCCAGAAACATATAATGGCTCCTTATTGCTTCCATAAAACTATCAGAATTTTCCAGACAGGTTTTCTGCCATTCAACATATATTTATACATTTTTCTATTCATTCTTCTAAAGCAGCAATTTTCTATTGGGCTGTCGCGACACACTGGTGTGCTGTGAGATCTTAGGCAGGCCATGAGAAATTTTAAAGCTCCTAATTAAATTATTCTCAAAGGAAATTCAAAGCACAGTAAATTTATTGTTTTTAAGTCTTTTTTTCTTGATCAACATAATTTAAGTGCAGTGCAGAAGTTTAATTATAGGTTCAAGCATGACATGAGATAAAGGAGGTTGAAAAACACTGCTCTAAATATGATTTCTGCTGCAGGAAAAGGAGATAGTCACTGTCCTGACCTCACTCATACTGCTTTGCTATTGTGTTCCTTTACTCTCTTGATTCTCTCTATAGTAAAATTTCCCTCAGGGTTTATGTCTCACCTGGCAACATTTAACTCAAGCTCCTAAAATGCAGAGATTGATTGCTTTCTTGTTTTGGCTTCTTCATGATATTCATGAATCATTTGTCTGGGAGCACTGAGTTAAACGTATACTGATGAGGACTTCTTTGGCCAGGCAGGCTGGTTTTACCAGTTACTGGATTGGAAACAAAGCATCAATGAAAGGTAGTACACACTAAAAAGTAAAGTGTTTCAAATGTTTTAAACAATTGATTGTAGCTGGCTAGAGTTAGCTGAAGCACCTAAGGAATAATATCCTATTTATTACATCATAGTAATAGTATCCTATTGATTATATCATAGTATCCTATTGACATTATAGTAATAATATCCTATTATTTACATGATAGTAATGGTATTCTCTTAATTATATCATAGTTTCCTATTAATTAAATCATAGTAATATTATCCTATTGATTACATCATAATAATAGTATCTTATTGATTACATCATAGCAACATTACCCTATTGATTATATCAGAGTAATAGTATCCGATTGATTACATCATAGTAACATTACCCTATTGATTACATCATAGTAATAGCATCCGATTGATTACATCATAGTAACATTACCCTATTGATTACATCATAGTAATAGCATCCTATTGATTACATCATAGTAGTAGCATCCTATTGATTATATCATAGTAACAGTATCCTACTGATTACTTCATAGTAACAGTATGTTATTGATTACGTCATGTAACAGTATCCAATTGATTATATCATAGTAGCAGCACCCTACTGATTACATCATGTAACAGTATCTTATTGATTACATCATAGTAACAGTACCCTATTGATTATATCATAGTAGCAGTACCGTATTGATTACATCACAGCAACAGTATCCTATTGATTACATCACAGTAGCAGTACCCTATTGATTACATCATAGTAATACTATCCCATTGATTACATCACAGTAATAGTATCCAATTGATTACATCATAATAATAGTATCCTACTGATTGCATCAATTTGCCTGGGACCAAAACTGTGGTCATGAGGAGTTTTGTCCTCTAAATTATATCCTCTATTTTATTATCACTACAACTTTAACTCAGCATCAATTATACAACAACAAATAATCCATAAAAACTGTTTTTATAAACACCTACCACATGACAACTATGTCATACACTGTCTTTGGTTGAACATTTAAGACTACCCAATTAAATTTGTGCTTTTATTGCTAATTTATACTTGAAGAAGATAAGGTGAAGGACTATCTGCATTTTGTTAATAGTCCACTTTCCATCAAACAACATACATAACATAAATGCGCCACACTGAGTTTATTTCTAAAATACCCAATTGAACATACGCTTACAAAAAGCAGCGTCCACTTTGGGCCTTAAAGGGCCCCTCTCTCTGCTATTTTAATGAGTTCGCCAATACTTCTTCCTCTTCTCATTTGTCCTTGTTTTTGCCACTTAGCGCATTCCACCTCTGAATACCCCAGCTGCATGCTGCCTACATGTCTGACTTCCCCTCCTGAACGTGAGGCCCTGGGGGCAGGTGTCAGGTTCCTTGTGAC